TCCCTGTCTCCAAGCCCCCTCCCCCTCCCTCCACTGTCCGGCCAGCCCTCAGCCCCTCCCCTGAGCGGGATGTCAGTGATGCAACCCCATACCCAGAAGTGAAGGGGTGAACGAGGTCCCCTCTCCCTCCCTCTTGGGCCTCTGACCCTGCTCCCTGACGTCCCCCCAGCCCCTCTCTCACCCGGTCCCGCCCCCGCCCCACCCCCCGTGCCCCCGCCCCCGCTCTGCCGTGGGAGGGCCCAGCAACTCCCTGCCCTGGCCTGGCGGGTGTGAGTCCCTGGAGGGCAGGGGAAGCTCGGCTTCTGGGATTTCCCCGGCCTCTGGCCAGCAGGAAGTCTTCCTCTGGAGAGGGGAAACCTTGCTCCTGGCCTCGGGCCAGCTGCTGAGCAAGACCAAGGTTCAGGGGAGGAGCCTGTTTCCCTGGTCAGCTGGGGACTCCCGCTGACCTCTGCTCTTCAGGTTTGGGGGTTTAGGCCTCAGAGGCCCAGAGAGCGAGGTCAGGGTGGGGGAAGAGGACGAAGGAGACGCTGGGGACAGTGGGGCAGAGAGACTGGGCGCCGACCCCCACCTGCATCAGCCGTCCCGGCTTTCCCTCCCATCCCCGGCCTGTGGAGCGGTGGGGTAGGGGCTCTCTGGACGTTTCTCCTCTCCCCGCTGGGTGTGTGTGCCAGGCGGGTGTGGACTGGGCACAGGGCGTTGATAAGGGGCCGCGGCAGCACCGCCCGCCGCAGCCCTGCAGGACCCAGGGTGGCCTAGAGCAGAGCGCTGTGCGGGCACAGTCCACCCCGGCCTCGTCCTGACACATCCGGGAACCGGGGGCAGGGAAGGAGGGTGCCTGGAAGGCTTTCTCTGGTGCCTCGGTCTCCGCCTCTCCGAGGCTGTGGAAGGTGATAAGCCCTGCGAGTGGGGCTGGGGGGGAGCGGCCTCCTTTCGCAGGGGCTCTGGCGGGCAGAGGCCCCCGCTCTCCTCTCCGAATCTCGCCTCTGCCCTTACTCCCCGGTTGCCCTGTTCCCGGGCTCCAAATGAGCCCCTGGGGACCCCTCAGCAGCAAACACAACAGGGAGAGAGCAAGAGCCAGCCCCCGGGGGGCAGGGCAGACAGCACTCGTGACTGTGCACATTCCACCCCGCCCCGCCCCGCCCTCAGCCACCCCTCCCCATCTCCCACTCCTCCGCCCCTCAAAACCCAGGCGGGGTCCCCTTCTCAGAGATCTTCTTGGGGCTGGGCTGCCCCCCCCCCGGTAGCTTGGGAAGAGGGCGGAGGGGAGGGGAGAAGGAGAGGCAGGGAGGTTGGTTGAGACAAAGGGGGCAAGCCTGGGTGGGAAGGAGCCGCTGCGTGGGCTGGAGTTGGGGACAGAGCCAGGTGGCGACAGCCCTGCGGAGCCGAGATCAGGGAGTTTCCGGGGATGAAGGGAGAAGCTGCGCGCTGGGCCAGCGCCCCCTGGTGGACAGTGCTGCAGCGGCAGCCACCCAGTCTCCCTGCCCTGCTGCTGTGGCCACTGGGGGGGGGGTCTCTCCTGGACACGTGGACAGAGTGGAGAGCACAGCCCTGCACAAGACCCAGGCAAGGTCCTCACTAGCAAGACCTGGCTTTGAGAAGCTGTACAGGAACCAAGTTCTATTCCAGTGCCCATCGACCCTGTCCACCTCATTTTCTCACCCGACCAGCAAGTGATGGGTTATCATGCAGTCTTTGAGGCCCCTTCTGGCATGGGCATCCCGAGATTCCAGGTCAAGATGGAGCTGATCTGGCTCCTCGTTACCTGTCTGATCTCAGGATCTCCTTCCCCTCTTGCCTCCTCCCCTCTGCTCCAGCCACGCTGGCCTCCTGTTCCTGGAGCACACCAGGCACGGTCCCCTCTGAGGGCCATTACAAGGGTTGTCACTTCCACCAAGGAAGCTATTCCTTGAGGTGTCCACTCCGTCACCTCCTCCCAGTCTTTTCTCAAAAGTCTTTCCTTAGATGAAGCCTGTTCTGACCTTCTGATGTAAAATTAAAACCACTCTCCCAGGTCTGGTTCCTCCCTACCCTGCTTTTCCCAGAGCCCTTATCAGCGTCTAACACACTATACCACTTCCTTATTTATCATGACTGTGGTGTAGTGTCTTTCTCCTTCTAATGGAATGATGAGGGTAGAGGGTTTTGCTGGATTCATTCATGGATGTATCTTAGCACCTGGAGCAGTGACTGGCACACAGTAGGAGTTCATTAATATTTGTGGAAGGAACGAGTATGCCATCGAAGAGGATCTGGGCTGGGGGCAGACAGGTCTCCCTCAAATAGCTCATGGTTAGTGCAGAGATGTGGTTGTGCTACTGACAATAAAATGGGGTTTCGTTGTAAGGAGGACACTGCTGATGAGCTACCATAGGTGGGGAGATGGAGAGGAAGGTGAGGGCTTGTGGGGAGAACAGAGCATAGCTTGGCTCCTGCACTCACTGCATCACATATGTGACCATGGGATTCCACGTTCCTTCTTATTTTTTCAACCAAAGCCCTCCTGAGCGTCTGCTAAATTAGTGTCTGAATCGTCACATGTTTTGGGAAATGCCAGCTTACAAGATAAAGCTTAACTCTGAGCATGACCTCCAGGGCCTTCGTGGTCTCTTCCTGTCTCTCCAGACTAGTCTCAAACGTGCCCGACGTTTCACCCATTCCACACAGTTCTGTATTTGCTCACAGTTCTTTCAGCTTCCCACCCCCTCTTCAAACTCCTTCCCGCTCAAACACCACTTTCCCCACCCTGCCAGTGTGTATTGTCTACCCTCCATCACTGTGTGTGTCCCATCCAGCCCTGTGTCTCAGTTGCCTTGTTTTGTTTTGTCTGCTGCCCCTCTGGACGTGCTCCTCTCAGGCAGATATGAAGTCTGCTCACTGCATCCCCAGGGCCTGTCCCATGAGCTGCTTCAGGGGACACAGGATGCGTGGAGACAAACAGAAAGGATTCTCACAGCTCTGCGTCTGCAGCCTGGGGAAGGGACACCAGCTGCTCCCTCCGGCTCCCCCCGCCCCTTTGGTATCTTTAGTATCTTCCTCTCCATGGACACCTCTCTGCCCTCAAAATGCTCTGGAGTCAGCATCCCAAGCATGACTGGATCTCACGAATGGATTATATTCAAAGATATGAATAAATAATTCACAAAATAGAAAATAAAACCAGCTAAGAAACATTTGAGAACATGTTGTAATTTACTTGTAGTCATAGAAATGCAAATTAAGCCGTGACATCTCATAGGGTCTGTAATGTGCATCAGGAAATGTAAAATATGTCATCTGCCTCATTACCCACATCCACGATGAATCCTAACAGAAACCCCCAAATATTGGAAGTACTTTATGCTCCAAATGTGTTCACAGAACTTTTTGTCAAAGACCTTCTTAGTTGTGAAAAAACAATACAGAAAGAACATAACAATAAATGTATAGCTTAATGAATTATTATAAGGAAACACCCAATATAAGCACCACGGGTCATGAGATGGCACACCCCGGCACCCCAAGAGTCTCTGTGTGCCCCTTACAAATCACAAGGACCCCCTCACCAGATGTAATTACTTCCTTACTTTTCTCCATAATTTGACCACCTCTGTAGGCATCCACAAACATGGTGATTTACTTTGCCTGTTTGGGCGGTTCACACAAGAGAAGATACAGAGTTTGTGTCCTCTCTCTCTGGCTTCTTTCACTCAACATTACAGGAGCCTTTTTCTTGTGTCCCCTGGAGGCAGGTGCATGCATTCCTGTAGACCAGGTAGTTAGGGGCTGAGCTGTAGGGATTATTTCGGAAAACGTATATAAGCTCCTAGCACAGTGCCCTGAACGTGGTGGGCACTTAATACAGTTTCATTCTCTACCCCCCTCTATGACATGAGCCCTGCTCCATTTCTGAAGCAGGATTCTCTCTGCTCCCACCCCCAGTACTGAGCTGCTTCCTGTCCTGCTACTACCACTTCTTACCAGCACCCTGAATCTAGATTCTCTCCCCCTGGCCACCAGGGGCAGTGCAGTCTCAGCACCAGGGTTTTATTCTCTCTGCTCCACACAGGAAGAACCCCCACTCCGGTGAGGGCTCCTTAGGATTTTCTTCCAGCAACAAGACAAAGCCAATCCTGGTGGAGCCCACACCTCTGTCTCCCACCCCTCATTCTGCACTAAGACCCTTCATTGACAAGACGGTGCTGATCCACATTTCAGAAGATGGATCTTTACATTACAAATGGGAATGATTTAACCTGTATTTCAGAGGAAGAGAATACTCAGGCTTTTGGGACATTTTTTCAAAGAAGTTGAGGCAAGAGAAAAAAATCTGGAAAGTGGAATGTGTAGGGATGGGAGATAGGGATGGTAGGGAAACAGGGAAGCTGCCTGGCTGGGGAGGGGCACTGGTGGGCAGGGTGGAGCCTGGAGAAACAGCCCTGGTGCCTTTGATTCTCTGTCCTTTAACAAAATCACCGTTGTGTCCCACTGCTCAGTTCCAGAGTCTTGTGCCATTTTGCAAGGCGGGTCTTTTTGTTATTGCCGCTACCGCATATCAGGTCCCAGAAAGAATTCCTGAAAATTCATATGATTAAGGAACAGACTTTATCAGGAAAACTTCTGCCAAGAGAACTTGGCAAAAAGAGAAGAGGAAGTGACCCCGGCTCTCTCATCACCCCATGGAAATGAGTGGCTGGACCTCAGTGATTTGCTGGACACACAGGTTGGGGCTGTGCTCCAGAGGAAGGACCCTGCTCTTAGGTCATTCTCCCTTCTTACAAGGCAAGGGGTAAGAGCAGCCTTGACAGCAAGGGGACAGACATATCACTGACCTCAAGAGTCCGGGTTAGGTGCCAGCAATTTATTAGAGTTTTCTGGGAGTGCAGGCAGCCCAGCGCCAGGGACTTGGGGGACGTGGGACATTTGTAAGCCCTCTTTCCCGGGGATAGAGCTAAGGACCTCATGGGACGTTGAGGGTGGGTGCACTCTCCCAGCAAGAGGATAAGCCCCCAATACCAGTTGGGATGGTGTCCAGGAAAACCAGAGTATTCAGTTCTGCTTCTGGCTTTCTAGGAGACCTGGGCAACAGGCAACCAGTGCTCACTGAATCCGTGGATGAAGTCCTGTGCTCAGGTTTGAGAGAAACACCAGGTTGTTAGCCCGCAGTCGCTGTCCCCAGTCCTGAGCCTGCACTGCACCTGGGTCTGGGCCGTGCTGGGGCAGGGGTGAAGCTGGTGCTCAAGGGGTTAGGTCAGGAGAAGTGGGGCAAGGCAGCCTGGCTGTTAGGACCTCTGGGAACTGGGTGGTTGGCAGGCCGAGCAGCAGAGTTCAAAGCAGGCAGGCGCCTCTGGGCACTGACTGGAGTCAGGAATTCCTTCGGGGGAAAGGCTAGCCCAGAGGCCAAGGGGCCTTTATCTTCAGTGATACCTGGTGCAGGAATTCTTTGGTGGTTTCAGGCGGCAGCTGTATCATCCTCACATCCAGGAAGCATTTATTCAGCACCCGCTACCTGAAGGGCCTGTGGGAGGCCTGAGGACACAAGTGGAAAAGGCTGTCCTGGCCTCAGGGCTCCCTTTCCCGTGGAGGCCACAGACCCCGCCTGCAGCCGGACGGGGACCAAAGTCTTCTTGGTGGAAGGTATTAGTCTTGCTGCTCTCCTGTGTTTTCATCATGTGGGTGTGGCTGTGACACTGGGCTCTGTCCACATTCCCTGGATCCCGCTGGCCCTGCTCTCCTGGCCTCAGCCCCAGTCTGCTTGGCCTGGCTCTGCTGCCCTGCTTGAGGGGCTTCTCCACATCCCTCCGCGTGGCTGGTAGAGTCTTGATCTGAGTGGTGGGTTTACCGGGAACTCACTGCTGCTGGTTTTGCTCATTACTCTTTGCCTTGACTCCTGCCGTGAAAGTCCATCCTCTTAGGGCCTGGCCACGCGACCCACCATCCCCCGCATTCACATCAGCCCTCTGCACACTGAGTTGTATGGCTGGAAGGGGCCGTGGAGGGAGTCATTTCTCCCCCACCCGGTACCGTTTGCTTCTCTCCCCAATGCTGAGACCTCCAACCTTACCTGAACCTTATGAGTGAGGAGGGATCTGGGGAAAACCTAGGCAGGCAATAGGCTCACTTACTCCCCTTTTGTCCTTTCCCCCTCAGACTGTCATGCTCCTGGTAAATTTTGATGCATGAGAAGCTGATTTTTTTTCTTTTTAAATTAACTTTAAGTCCATTGCTTTGGTCATTTCTAACATCCCTAGAGCACAACATGTTGGACCAGTCTCCTCCAGTTTACACTTGCCTTGGCCTCTGTCAGGAACGGAGGCCCTGGGCCACAGGACCCCCAAGCTACATCTCTTTCCATTCCTGCAGCCCCTTCCCCTCCTGGTGGCTGTGTGTGCTTCACCTGTTTCCTGCAGGTTATCTTGCATTCTTCCTCCAAGAGGCCTTCCTGCTTTATTTCAGTTTTCACATGGTCTGTTTTGTTCTCCTTGATGAAAGAAAATGCTTCTTAAGAGCCTCTGTACTGTAGCACATAGAACCTGCACTGAAATGATTTCTGCTTCTATCTCCCCCGCTAGAGTTTGGACTCCTCTAGTACAGTGACTTTGCCTCCTGTCTTTGTATCCCAGTGGTGCTGCACACAGTTGACACTTATTACATGTTTGTTGAATGTTGACCTGATGTTGGAAGACACCCTTTCAGGAAACCTCTAGGACAGTTTCATCTTCAGCCGCCAGGTGGCACTAACGCCCAGGTGCTACGGGTGGGCCGGGAAGGAGGATGCTTTGAGGGAGGCTTAGGCGCTGGTTGCAGGCGGTGCTGGTGGGTCATGGAGTCTTTTCCTTTTCTCCTCCAGACTGTCTCGGTCTTCTTAGAGTTTTATTACAAAGCGCCATAGACTAGATGGCTTAAACAACAGAAATTTATTTTCTTATAATTCCAGAGCCTGCGAAGTCCAAGATCAAGGTGCTGGTTGATGCCCTTCCTGGTGAGGGCCCTCTTCCTGGCTTGCTGTCTCCTTGCTGTTTCCTTACACGGTGAAGAGGGAAAACTTTGCTATCTCTTCCTCTACTTATGAGGGCACTAATCTCTGTATTGTATCTCACAGCTTCTACCTGCATATTCGACTGTTTCTGGCAACACTGAACACATCCACTGCTGAAGGAATAACACACTGCAGCCAGCATCTGGCCCCGGGTAAGTCAAAGTGATGACTATTAAAAGCACTTTAAAGAGCATCACGTACAAAAGCAGGGAATGACTGCACAGGAGTTGCAAGCTGCTCTGCCATGTCTGCGCAGCTCCTTTATTCTGCAGAAACCTCAATTATTTGTCTCAGATTTTAAGAAAAGATTGCCTTAAAGCTACAGGAGAGAAGCAAGGAAATAGACTGCTTTAAAGGAGAAACCAGCACAGAGTTAAAGCCAAATTTTTCTTTCTTTTTTATTTATTGACGTATAGTTGAATTATAATATTATGTTAGTTTCAGATGTACAACACAGTGATTTGATATTTTTATAGATTATACTCCAAACAAAGTCATTGTAAGTATTGATTATATTCCCTATGCTATACATTACGTCCTTGTAACTTATTTATTTTATGCCTAGTAGTTTGTGCCTTTTAATCCCCTTCCCCATTTTGTCCTTCTCCCTACCCCCTTCCCTCTTGTAACCACTAGTCTGTTCTCTATGTCTGTGAGTCTGCTTCTGTTTTATTATATTTGTTCATTGCGGGGCTTTTTTTTAGAGTGAACAGGTGATATTTCAGATAGTCACTCTTCAAGATGAGTCAATTTCCTTGAAAATCCAATCCATATAGATTCATATGCTGTGCTGGCAGGAAGACTGACTGAAACAGCCAAAACCCAATAGCTAATATTCTTTTGGCCAGAATAATGGAATTATTATTTTCCTAGCTATCAATCTAAGCAAACAGAGCCATCTGTCAGGCAAAGCAAACACACACACCTTAAGTGCAGTTCCCTTGACAGAGCTTGGATTATACTACTAACCAGGGCTGTAAGATGTGTTTTGACCTAGTATATAACAGATGCTTTTGAGGCATTCCCTAATTAGCATTTACTTGCTTAAACTCAGATTTCTTCTTCACTAGCTTATTAAACTTTGTTGGATATCATGCACAAAACGGTTGACTGTGGGCATTGCAGAACAACGAACAGTGGTGTCTCCAGTTCGATACAGTGTTGACACGGTGACACATAAGTTTCAAAATTGGATATTCTTGATACTAGGTCCCAAACAGATTAAGACAAGGTTGAAACTCTATTAAAGGCTATTACAAAATCGGAGATTTCAATGAGATACAAGAATTCTAATACTGAGTTGACAATAGCCCAGTTTCTATCATTTGATTTGCTAAAGTCCACATGAAATAGATCTACTCTATATGTGACAGCCAGTAGCTTCAATGTTCTTCAAGGAGGAGTTAGTGGACTTGGATTTGGTTTCTCAACGGTGAGTAGTCATATTGGTCACTGTTCCTCATCCTGCCTCAACCTTCCTCAAATGCCAAATATCTCTATTATTCACCAATACCTTCCTTGATTTAGCTATTAACCAGCAAACTCACTAACAGCCAAAAGGATCCAGCTGCTCTGGACTCCCCCTTAGAGTAGTGCTAGCTCCCAGAAGCAACAAGTCTGGGGTAGGTCCTGCTTAAGAAGGGACGGACAAATCTTATCTCCATCTTTAGCTCCAAGGGACAAGGTAGGTTATCCAACTTGGCAAATCATCACACAAATACAAAATCGCTCTCACTATGGGAATTCCCCGGCTGTCCAGTGGTTAGGACTCAGCGCCGTCACTGCTGTGGTCCCTGGTTCGATCCCTGGTTGGGGAATTAAGATCCCGCAAGCTGTGTGATGTGGCAAAAAAAAAAAAAAAATCCCTGTCACTAAAGCTGTGTTTTCCTCATGCCGAACCACTAGATGAAAAGGGTCAAACTAAGCCAGTCACTTGCAAGAGGAGTAGGTAGATGGAGACTGTTGGAAATGTACAAAATTTTCCTTCCTCATTTAGTGCAATGCAAAGCCATTCTAGGGACTGCAAAATGTGACTTCCCAAGTGTGCTTCAAATACGTCAATGGCTGGTGCACTGGGGCTTTCCTTCATTGTGTACCTATAACTTTTACTAGTGTGTTAGGTAAGGGGCTTTCCATTCGCAAATTCCACGGAGGGTCCTCCCGGTTCATGAAGGCCCTCATTTTCAGATGGCTAAATAATTCAAATGATGGAGGCCTTGTCATGCTGGCTAGTGATGGCTTCAGGAAGAGACAACAACTTGGCCAATTCACAGAAGTCAAAATATTCTTTTCCCTGGCGGGGGAGAGTGGCATCTTGGGATTTCTCCTTTCTCAACACTTGTAAATCAGAAAAATAAAATGTGGATCCATGGCCTTGTCTCCTCATGCACCACATGCTTTATTATAGGTGCTATTAGGTGTACACTATGGTTACATGGCAATCCAGTAATTATCTTCACTAAAATTCACAACACCATTAACCATCTCAGTGACAACCCTCCAATTTAACATCTTGGGGGTTTCCTCCCCTTCTTCATCATTTATTTGCCAATATTTCCTTGTTATAAATATCCCCCTAGTGATTTTCCTTGGCAGTCACACCTGTGCTGTCTACTGTGTGTACCTTGACTATAAATAAGAACAATTCTTTAAAAAGAAAGCCCTCGAAATAATTCCTATAGTTAGAAGGAAAGCCTTGCTATGGGATGAATTCCCTGTCGTATTCGTAAGTATTGGCTGCGCTGGAAGTGACCCAAGAGGCTCCTAAGCTGACCTTGTTAGGGTCTTGACATCTCTTATTATGCAAACTTTTGAGAATCTGATGATTTAGGAACCCCTTTCTAGAAAAATGCATCCACCTAAAAAAAGCAATAAAGAAAGAAACTATCTCAAAATGAGAAAGTTCTCTTAGAAATAGAGATAAGAACTCAAAGCAGACTCTAGGTCCATCCACCTCACTACAAATAACTCAATTTCATTTCTTTTTATGGCTGAGTAATATTCCACTGTATATATGTGCCACATCTTCTTTATCCATTCATCTGTTGATGGACACTTAGGTCTGTCATACAGAGTGAAGTAAGCCAGAAAGAGAAAAACAAATACCATATGCTACACATATATGGAATCTAAGAAAAACAAAAAAAGAAAAGGTCATGAAGAACCTAGGGGTAAGATGGGAATAAAGACACAGACCTACTAGAGAATAGACTTGAGGATATGGGGAGGGAGAAGGGTAAGCTGGGACAAAGTGAGAGAGTGGCATGGACATATATACACTAGCAAACGTAAAATAGATAGCTAGTGGGAAGCAGCCGCATAGCACAGGGAGATCAGCTCGGTGGTTTGTGACCACCTAGAGGGGTGGGATAGGGAGGGTGGGAGGGAGGGAGACACAAGAGGGGAGAGATATGGGAACATATGTATATGTATAACTGATTCACTTTGTTGTAAAGCAGAAACTAGCACACCATTGTAAAGCAATTATACTCCAATAAAGATGTTAAAAAAAAAAGAAAAGAACTCAGAGCAGGAATAAAAAATTACTGAAAGGCATTACCCAGGACAGATATCAAGGTCAACATCACCAGTGAGGTCATGTTGACGGTATGCACTCCTGAGATGATATAATAAGAAGGGCATGTTACCTCAGTTGTCTTCCTCCAAAAGCCTGTAACCTCAGAAACATCACACAAATCCCAATGGAGGGACAAGGTACAAAGTACTTGACCAATACTCCTTAAAACTGTCAACATCAAAAATAAGGGAATTCTGAGAAACTGTCACAGCTAAGGGAGTTGAAGGAGACATGACAACTAAATGTAATGTGCTGTCTTGGATGGGATCCTAGAACACAAAAGGGGCATAAGGGAAATACTAAGGATATCTGAATAATGTGTGGACCTATCAATAACAGTTTTTTGATTGTAACGGATTACCATACTACTGTAAGATGTTAATGATAGGGGAAATGGTGTGTAAGGGGATGTGAGAACTTTATTATCTTCATTATTTTTCTGTAAATATAAAACCCTTCTAGAAAATGTCTATTACAAATTAATAAAAGTTTGAAAACATAAAATTGAAAGAAAAAGCTTCCACAAAATGAAAGAAGAAGAAAAAGAAACTGGATCTGGAGGTGAGTGGGTGGGACACTGGGCAGCAGGGGTTTCATGCCCTTTGGCTCTTCCTGGGCAGAGATGGTCAGAGCTGGCAGGAACCAGCCTGTGGGGTGGACCCACTCAGTGTCCTTAGGTGTATTCAGCCTGGAGGAAGTTGAAAGCAAAACAAGGGAGACATATGTGGAGATAAGTAACTTCCTTTTGGGTCTCCTGACTTTTTCCTGGCTCCCCTGACTGACATGAGCTGTTTTCTCAAAAGTGTTTCCCAAATACTGGCCTGTGCTAAAGGCAGCTGGGGGGAAAATCCATGGGGTTGGGTCTGTGAGGTAGAAGGTGGCCCTGAGGCAGGTGCACAGATGCCAGGAACCCACATGGCCCCAGTGGCCTTTCTAGGTCCCCTTCCCGTCCCCTCTCCAAGAAGAATCTGCCCCTGGACCTAGGTGCTGGGTAATCTGACCTCTGGTGGAGGGTGTGCATGGGCACGTATGGGGGGGCGGGGGGCATTTTCTGGTCTCTTTTGCATCCTTAGATCTCTGATGAAGAGTGAGTTCCTCTAGGGCCTGACCCCACCAGGAGTCCTTCCTCCCACCCCTCCCCCCAGTTTACAGGCTGGGAGCCCTGGACAGTGGGGAGTGGGGAGAGGCCCTCTGGGAGATAGGGGACTTTGACCCCAGACTCCCAAGCTTCTCCTTACTCCAGTTGGTCTCAGCAGTGCTGAAAACCCCTGCTGAACACGTCACAGGGGCTTCAAGGGCAGAGGTGGAGGCCTGTTCAGGATTCCCTGGGCTGATGGGCCCTGACAGACCACCAGAGGCCCTGCCCCTGTGACTTCCTGCTGCTGCAAACTAGATGTTCCTTTTCACTTTTGATTTAATATAATTTAAAAATTTTTTATTGAGGTGTAATTGACATACATCATTATATTAGTTTATAACATAATGATTCAATATTTACATATATTGCAAAATGATTAAGTCAATAAATCTAGTTAATATCTGTCACCATACATAGTTACAGATTTTTTTTTCTTGTAGTGAGAACTTTTAGATGTAGTCTCGGCATCTTTCAAACATGCAGTACAGTATTTTTAACTATAGTCTCCATGCTGTACATTACATCGCTAAAACTTATTTATTTTATAACTGGAAGTCTGTACCTTTTGATCTCCTTCCCCATTTCGCCCACCTCTCCCCATCCCCCCCCCCATGGCAACCACCAACCTGTCTTCTGTATCTATGAGCTTGCTTGGTTTTTTTTTAAGATTCCACATACAAGTGAGATCAAACGGTACTGGTATTTCTCTGTCTGACTTACTTCACTTAGCGTGATGCCCTCAAAGTCTATCCATTTTGTAGCAAATGGCAAGATTTCATTCTTTTTAATGGCTAAGCAACACCCCAATGTTCATTGCAGTACTGTTTACAATAGCCAAGACATGGAAGCAACCTACATGCCCATCAACAGATGAATGGATAAAGAAGATGTGGTACATATATACAATGGAATATTTCTCAGCCATTTTCATTCTTTTGCGTATAGTTATCCAGTTTTCCCAACACCATTTATTGAAGAGACTGTTCTTTCCCCACTGGCTTCTTTGTCATAAATTAATTGACCATATATGTGTTGGTTTATTTCCGTGTTCTTTATTTTGTTCCATTGACCTATGTGGGGTTTTTTTAACATGTTTATTGGAGTATAACTGCTTTACAATGTTGTGTTAGTTTCTGCTTTATAACAAAGTGAATCAGCTATAGGTATACATATATCCCCATATCCCCTCCCTCTTGTATCTCCCTCCCACCCTCCCTATCCCACCCCTCTAGGTGGTCACCAAGCACCGAGCTGATCTCCCTGTGCTATGCAGCTGCTTCCCACTAGCTATCTATTTTACATTTGATAGTGTATATATGTCAATGCTACTCTCTCACTTTGTCCCAGCTTACCCTTCCCCCTCCCTGTGTCTTCAGGTCCATTCTCTACATCTGCGTCTTTATTCCTGTCCTGCCCCTAAGTTCATCAGAACCTTTTTTTTTTTTTTAGATTCCATATATATGTGTTACCATATGGCATTTGTTTTTCTCTTTCTGACTTACTTCACTCTGTATGACAGACTCTAGGTCCATCCACCTCACTACAAATAACTCAATTTCGTTTCTTTTTATGGCTGAGTAATATTCCATTGTATACATGTGCCACATCTTCTTTATCCATTCATCTGTCAATGGACACCTAGGTTGCTTCCATGTCCTGGCTATTGTAAACAGAGCTGCAATGAACATTGTGGTACATGACTCTTTTTGAATTACGGCTTTCTCAGGGTGTATGCCCAGTAGTAGAATTTAGCTTTCAGACTTGAATTTCTGAGGATAACACTGCGGACTTTGAGATTGTCCTTCTGAGGGGTGGATGTTCTTGGGGTGAATTAGCACCCCTGAAACAGGTCTGGGAAGATATAGCCATGGAGGAGCTCACCTTCGTTTTCCCACAGAACACGGCAACTTTGGCCCTCGGGGACCAAGTGTCTATCAGAAGGGGAGGTGCTGGGTGAGGTCACGCTGCCCCTGAAGCCACCTCAGGGCTCAATGACCGCAGCAGATGGTGACCTGGACAGGAAAGGAGAGCCCTGGCTGTGCCGAGACACAGTCTGCTCAGTAAATATTTGCTGAGTGGAAACAGGTCATGGCTGCCATGTGCAGCTTAGCTGAAAGCTGCCTGTCGTGTTCAAGAGCATATGTGACACCCCAGCGTCCTCACAGGAAGGCTGGGACCAGGGTGAGTCAACAGGACACCCATTCTCAGGTGCCGACCTTGAACTGTCACCAGCCTGAGAGTGGGGTCTCCTTGCATCCCTGTTCACGGGGCCTGGGGCCTGCATCAGAAGAGGGGGACAAGAGCCTGTGACCTGGTCACATCACAAATAATCAACAACTAGCTGAAGTGCTGTGGGAGCCCAGCGCAGAGAGCACCTAATTCATCTGGGGCAGATGGGGCAGGCTCCCAGGGGGCCATCTGAGCTGCATCTGGAAGGGTCTTCGGGCATTGGGCGGGAGGGAAGTTCTTACTCCAGGTAGTGGGAGCTGGTGTGCAGGCTGGAGGCTGATGGGGGTTCTTTCTTAGGCCCATAAGGGATGGGGAGTGACCCCTAAAGTGGGGAGGTTTTCCCAGTTATCTGTTCCTGCTGGGGCTCTCCCTCCCCTCTGTGCTCCCAACGGGAGGGTCTCAAATGTCTGTGGGCACCTTCTCAGGGACTGTGAGTGGGGATCTGCAGAGCCCACTCACCTCCCTATGGGGTAGAGTAATGTGGTCTGAATGCCTGGGGTGGGTAGAAGGATGTGCTGTGTTGTGGTCTGTCCTCCCCCGCTGGACAGAAGAGAGATGTTGACAACCAGTCCAGCCAAGAATCTCTAGGGAAATCTAGTGATAAAGGAGCCCAGCAGAAAGAAGCCGAAAGATGTGGCTGGGGTGAGAGTCACGGACAAACGGGAGCCCTCTCAGGAGCTGGGAACAAGCTCAGGGTGAAAGCAGTCTCTCCACTGGGGTGGGGGGGGCCTTCTCCAGGTTTAAAAGGTAATGTCATTGGTGTGACAGATGGGATGGATGTTAAGACTAAGATGAAAAGACCCTGTGAAAGCTGGACTGTGAGACTACCTAGGAGGACACTTCACTGCCCTGGGAAGGAGTGCAGGTCCACCAGCCTGCAGCTCACAGACAGTGAGGGTCCCCGGGCCCTGTTGAGAGACCAGCTGAGGTTTCTCAGGCCAGCAGCCTTTGCAGGTCTGGCTGGGCTGGAGGCACAGACCTTTTGTGATGTACTGAGTGCAGAAGGAGGAGCTGGGGTTGAACAAAGGCCACCTTGATCACAGAGGCTGCTGAGATGCAGCCACAGACCTTAGTTTTCCTGCCTGGAATGGTGCTAGGGAGGAGAGAGGCTGCCCTGGGACAGGCCTGGCCTCCCCCTTTCATGTGGCTTCTCAAGGTCTGAAACCATCTTGTGTGGGAGATTCAATGCACTGAGAGGGACTTGGATCTGGAAAGACCATTGGTATGAAAGGACAGGGACCTGGTCCCAGGCCAGGCTCTACTACATATTAGGTTTATTCATTAACCTCTTTGGATCCTCAGTTTCTACATCTGTAAAATGGGAAGATAATTGTAATAATATCTATCTGTCTCTCATAGATGAAAATGCTTTGTGAATTTGAAAGAGGTAGACAGGCTGGGGGTGTTGACGATGATTTACGTTTCCAGCTGCACCAGGTGGCTGAGATGCTGCCTTAAGAGATTTCCAAAACGTCCCTGGTGGGGTCTCCCTGGTGACGCAGTGGTTGAGAGTCCGCCTGCCGATGCAGGGGACAAGAGTTCGTGACCCGGTCCGGGAAGATCTCACATGCCGCAGAGCGGCTGGGCCCGTGAGCCATGGCCGCTGAGCCTGCGCGTCCAGAGCCTGTGCTCCGCAACGGGAGAGGCCACAACAGTGAGAGGCCCACGTACTGCAAAAAAAAAACAAACAAGAAAAACCAAAATGTCCCTGGTGTTCTGCCAGTGTGGAATGTTTACTGTCTGTCTCTCTTCCAGTGTCCCTGGTCTGTAGCTGCATTGCTGTTTCCCTCTCTCTAGGCTCCTCCTCCCTCCCCAAATCCTGAGCAGATGGTTTACAGACCCAAACAATGAGATATCATCTCACACCAGTCAGAATGGCCATCGTCAAAAAATCTAGAAACAATAAATGCTGGAGAGGGTGTGGAGAAAAGGGAACACTCTTGCACTGCTGGTGGGAATGTGAATTGGTTCAGCCACTATGGAGAACAGTATGGAGGTTCCTTAAAATACTACAAATAGAACTACCATACGACCCAGCAATCCCACCACTGGGCATATACCCTGAGAAAACCAAAATTCAAAAAGAGTCATGTACCAAAATGTTCATTGCAGCTCTATTTACAATAGCCCGGAGATGGAAACAACCTAAGTGCCCATCATCGGATAAATGGATAAAGAAGATGTGGCACATATATACAATGGAATATTACTCAGCCATAAAAAGAAACGAAATTGAGCTATTTGTAATGAGGTAGATAGACCTAGAGTCTGTCATACAGAGTGAAGTAAGTCAGAAAGAGAAAGACAAATACCGTATGCTAACACATATATATGGAATTTAAGAAAAAAAATGTCATGAAGAACCTAGGGGTAAGACAGGAATAAAGACACAGACCTACTAGAGAATGGACTTGAGGATATGGGGAGGGGGAAGGGTAAGCTGTGACAAAGCGAGAGAGTGGTATGGACATATATACACTACCAAACGTAAGGTAGATAGCTAGTGGGAAGCAGCCGCATAGCACAGGGAGATCAGCTCGGTGCTTTGTGACCGCCTGGAGGGGTGGGATAGAGAGGGTGGGAGGGAGGGAGACGCAAGAGGGAAGAGATATGGGAACATATGTATATGTATAACTGATTCACTTTGTTATAAAGCAAAACTAACACACCATTGTAAAGCAATTATACTCTAATAAAGATGTAAAAAATAAATAAATAAAATGTAACAGCATAGCCAAAAAAAAAAAAAAAACCCAAAACGTCCCTGGTGTTCTGCCAGCATGGAATTTTTATTGTCTGTCTTCCAGTGTCCCTGGCCTGTAGCTGCATTGCTGTTTCCCTCTCTCTAGGCTCCTCCTCCCTCCCCAAATCCTGAGCAGATGGTTTACAGACCCAAACACGAGAGGACTAACACAAGAGGACTTATAGGACATGGGAGAGCGAAAATATGAAACTTGCTCCCCATCACTCTGAGAGTGACCAGTGGGTGAGTTGCCTGGATTTTGAGCCCAGGCAAGAAGTTTCTGACCACAGGACTCATTACCTTTTGCAGTAATTTCCCCATTACTAGAGGAGGTTGGAGGGAATAAGCCAGCGTTGGATATTCTCTTGTCTGGGATTCAGCAGAGCAATTTAAGGAGCACAGAATGGACTCAGGTGACTTGCTTAAGGCCACACAGTGGGATGGGACAGTGGCTGTGTTGTTGGGGTTTTTTTTCTAGAGTTTGTTGTCGAGAGCCCAGACCCTATGCTTGATTCACTGTATGACCTTTTGCAGATTACACTGCCTCGCTTGGTCTCAGTTTTCACATCCATAAAATGGGTTTAATATACAGTGCCATGACTATGTCGAGTGCATGGTCATGGGGCCAGTCCTGCATGGGGCTCCTCAGCCTTGGGGCAGCAGAGGGAGAAGTCTCAGTGGGGATGAGAAGGAGGCACCGCCCAGGAGTTAGGTACATGGTGCTGGCCCCCTACGGTGTGGGCCCAAGAGTTCTCCGATGTTGTGGGGTATTCAGTCTGGCGAGAAGAGGCCAGAGCCTGAGCCTCAGTAGGTGGGAGTGGGTCTGAGGCAGCTGAGGCTGTGGCCAGGAGGGGTGTGTAGATATCTATCCCTGCCCGTCTGTGATAGCAGGAGCAGGCCTGGCAGAGGCTTAAAGGGAAATGGTGGGAAGGAGGCAGACAAGAGCCTATCAAATACCGTGGGGTCTGGCTTTGCCCTGTGTGTAGGGAGAATAAGTAACACTAGGGGCAGCTGGAAAGCCAGAAGGGTGCAAGCAGTAAATGCCAATATTTGCATTTGTGATATGGGGAGCTGACACTTCCCCCAAAGAGCTTTGTTCTTACTTAAGAGCTTTGCTTCTTACTTAAGCAACTGACATTTGAAGTTTATGGAAAACCAAACTCATTAAACAGTGTAAAGACAGAGGAGACAGCACCCAAGGCAGCAGAGGCCCAGCCTACCCTGGCTGAAATAGCATGACTTCTGTGCTCAACCATAGGCTGACACTGATGAGCGGCTCAGCCTAACCCCAGGGAAACAGGTAAGGGAGTTATAGTGAGTGCTAGTGTGGGGAGTGTGAGAGGAACAAGCTGGTGTGAGCACAGGGATGGGGCGTCTCCAGTAGTGGAGTTGTTTATGCATTTATTCTGCACTTGTTTATTGAGGTCCTACTGTAAGTGCTGGGGATAGTAATAGGAAACATCTGAGTGGCTTACTACAGGCTGGTGGGCTGTCAACCCAGAGCATAATCATGCTAGCCCCGCCCTAGGGGTGGGGAAGAGCCTAAGTGTCCCTCTGAGTGACACTTCCCTTCTCTCCTGCCCCTCCTCCTAGACCTTTCTTCCACAGCTGCACAGGCGGGCAGGCAGCCTGTGATGGGGCCCTGCTCAGAAGACCCCCATCTCTGCTGGGCCTCCCGGCTCCTGGGATTCACCAGCCTACTCCTCAGTGAGTGGCCCGGGCTGCTGGGAGGGAGGGCCTTTGGGGGGAGCAGGGAGGCAATGTCCCCTGTCCACGTCTAAAGTCTTTGGTGAACAAAAAGACAAGACAGCTCTGTAATTATTTAGCAAATACAGTGCATTTGGTTTAGAGCCCTGGGGGGAACAGAAAAACAAAATGGCCTTTTGGTTGTGGCGAGCCTGGGACCCCTGTGCTCAGGCAGCCTTGGCTGCATTAAGGGAAACATCTCCAGGGAGGTGAGGCTGCTTCTGTGCAATAACAGAGAGGCTGGGAGAGCATGGAGCTGCCTGGGAAGAGGGAGGCAGACAAAGAAAGCCGCTCCTTGGCGTGGAAGGGCTGGGGAGTGAAGCTCCCCTGGTGTGGACTCAGAGGGGAACTGGCAGCCTGTGCAGTTGTCCTATGGGGGAGGGGGCCAACAAGAACCCTGTGTCTGAGATGGAGGAAGCAACTCTGGTCTGGGTTCTTGAGCAAGATGAAAGATGTCGGATACAGTGAGATTCTGCTTTGATAAAGGGAACAGCAGCCTCTAAAATTTCTGTATACCCACTTGTAGAAAGAATATGGAGAAACTACAGAAGGGACAGCAGACTGGTAATGCGGGCTCCAGAAGGGAGTGAACTTCGGGAGAAGAGAAATGGAAGTAGAAACAATAGGGAGTTAAGTGAAAATGAACTGAAGACTGGACAACACCGCAATCACATACAGGACTTCCTGGGAGATTATATGATTATGTATAAGGAAATTAAGTGAAAACTGATGAGGAAATACTAATACCCAGTGAATTATGAATTCTGGAGAAAGTTGGAAAGCTTCTATTGTTTTAACTTTTTGTTTTAGTGACCCAGCCACTAAATAAACTTGCAGGAGTTATATGAAATTTAATGAATTAGAGAACTTTTATAAACAGATGTCTTGAAATAAGAATGAGCTTTGTAAAACATGACCTCTTTTTTAACAAGTTAAATTTACGTCTACAGTAAAATGTAGGCCTTCTCTTCAATTTTACATAACTGGAAAATATGTTCTGTTATTTAGAGTTTTCTCCGTAGGCTCTGGGGTTGGAAGATTACATAAGAGAGAGAGAGAGAGGGAGAGAGAGAGGAGGGAAATGGACAAAATTTTAAGTTGATTTGCAAGTGTTAAATTTTATATTATTTACATAAACTTTTACTCTGTCTTGTTTGTAACCACACCCCCCAGCTTTATTTTCTTCTTCAGGATTAGATCTTTTGTAGATCACAGTTCTTGCTGCCTTCCTTCTCTTTCTACGTCTTCTTCCATCTTCCTCGCAGCTGGGCTCACCATTCCCTTCTGGGTGGGTCCTCCCTGCAGCCTGAAGGCTGAGCCTCTTCTCTCCCTGGTTCCCTCCTTTCCAGCAAGTGGGGAGTCTGGTTAGGCTGCTGTCTAACCCTCTCAGCCTGCCAGAAGTCCTTGCCCTGCTAAACCCCTCTAAGTACTTGCTTCCCCTTTCCTAGGAGAGGAAAGTTGGAGGATGAGCCTCTAGGAACTGCTCTGATCCTGGTGATGAGAGAGCAGTGCTGGCAGGGGAGCTCCTGGGGAGGACAGGGACAGGGTTGGGGAGGTGATGGGTGGCTCCTGCAGGGGAGAAGCACTGGGCTGGGAGATAGGAGCCCTGGCTCCAGGCGTGGCTCTGCCCTGTGTGACCCAGGACAAGTTCACCCCCTGGGGCGCCTCCTTCTCTGTGACAGGAGGGGCCTGGGGAGATCCCCCCTAAGACCTGACCTGGAGGAGATGCCTGGTTAAGTGACTTAGTGATTAAATAAAGACAAAGAAATATCTGAAATACTTGTGCATATGAACGCTGGCACGAGCTATTCTCTGCTTCCATTGAGAGCCAGGAATGGGAATAAGTACAGCAGGAGGGAGGCAGGCCTGAAATAATGAGGATTTATTGAATTGGAGAGAGGATTGGGACCTTGGAAACCAGAGGCCAACCCAGGCAGATGGATCCTGACCTGGTGGAAGAAGCAGATTGATCATCTTTTCAGGATAAGACACTTTCCCTGGTCCTGTTCTGTCCTACCTTGGTCCCCAGGAAAGGGGGTATTGGGTCCCTGCGGTCTGTGTCTGAAGCGGGAGGGTGGGCTCTGGAGGAGGTGGCCCTGAGGCGAATGTGCCCACTGGTCACAGTTCTGCAGGAAAATGACCAAGGAAGGCCTAATGCGGCCTCTTGGGGCCTGGCTAGGGAAGTGCTGTCTTGGTGGCAGGGACAGCAGAGCTCACTAAATGATCATGCTTCCCCTCATGTTCTAGTCCCTGGCAGTTAGCCAGAGCCTTGTGACAAATGCTGGCCACAAAACAAGAGCAGTGATCATGCTCCTTCTGGACAGATGCAATGAAACCCCCTGTGTGATTCTCCTGTCTCCCCTCCCTGCTGCGGGGCTGGGAGCCTGTGAGGATGCTGTGGGTTCCACGGGTGCAGCCACAAGGAGGCGAAACCTCTGCCATGTGTGACAGGACACCCTCCTCACTCTCTCATGGAACCCGTGGTGGGGGATATAAACTCCCCTTGTTCTAAGACCCTGAGGTATTGTAACTGTTTGTTATGCAGCACAGCCTAGCCTGTCCTGCCTACTACACCGCCTAGAAGGAGCAGGAAAGAGAGCAGCCTTCATATTTGTGTTAGCTATCTACTGCTGTGTAACCTGTCACCCCAAAACTTAGTACCTAAAACACCACCAGGCATAGTCTCACAGTTTCTGTGGGTCAAAACAGAGGAGCTGTTCAGCTGGGTCCTCTGGCTCAGGGTCTCCCAGACTGAAATCAAGGTCTTGGCTGGGGCTGCATCAGCTCAGGGTCAGCTGGGCAGGATGTGCTTCCAAGCCTACTCATGTGATTGCTGATGGGAGGCAGTTCCTGTGGCTGCTGGACTGAGGGTCCCTGTTCCTCCCTGGATGTTGGCCAGAGGCTCCCTCCGTTCCTTGTCACGTGGGCCTCTCCTTAGGACAGCTGACAACACGGCAGCTGGGTTTCTCAGAGCGAGCAAGAGAGGGAGTGAAGGAGAGAGAGAGCAAGAGGGAAGTCACAGTCTCCTATAACCTAGTATCACTGAGTGACATTCATCAAGTCTGCTGTGGTCCATTCCTTAGAAGCCAGTCACTAGGTGCAGCCCACACTCTAGGGGAGGGCATTACACAAGGATGTGAACGTGAGGAGACACTTAAGAAGCTCCTTCTACAGTTATGCATTTGGTTTGACAGAAACTCTGCTAGGTGCTTTTTTTTTTTTGATAAATTTATTTATTTTATTTTTGGCTGTGTTGGGTCTTCGTTGCTGCGCGTGGGCTTTCTCTGGTTGAGGCGAGCAGGGGCTACTCTTCCTTGCGGTGCGCGGGCTTCTCATTGCAGTGGCTTCTCTTGTTGCGGAGCACGGGCTCTAGGCGCGCGGGCTTCAGTAGTTGTGGCACACAGACTCAGTAGTTGTGGCTCACGGGCTCTAGAGCGCAGGCTCAGTAGTTGCGGCACACGGGCTTAGTTGCTCCGCGGCATGTGAGATCTTCCCGGACCAGGGCTCGAACCCATGTCCCCTGCATTGGCAGGCAGATTCTTAACAACTGCGCCACCAGGGAAGCCCCTGCCAGGTGCTTTTGATCCATGATCTCATTCAGTTTATACTGTCATTATGAAGCAGGTGAGGAAACTGCAGGTTAGCAAGTTTACGTAACCTGTTCAAGGTTACAATTCACTAGAGCCAGGACTTAATTCTAGAATTGCTTCAGATTCATTTTACTAGGCTTCCTCCTAAGAATCAAGGGAGTATATTGGATGAATTTCATTTAAAAGATGGGTTTTGTGGTTTTCTCCTTTATTGTTACTGAAAAAAAAAAAAAACATTTCCTGTTTCCAATGCCCTAGGCGCCTGCTGCCCTGGGGTCAAGAGTTCTGGGACACATGGCTCTGGAGTTCAGGATTCTGGAGCCCATGTTCCTCTGCACAGGGTCCGAGGAGGTTCTGTATCGTTTAATGTGACCAGGAAGCAAGAAGCTCACCTGGAGGAGGTCACATGGGGCTTTGGCCCTGACTCAAACTACAGAGTCCTGCTGCGAGTCAGTGCTGGGGCAGATGCTCCCACTTGGGTCAGCCTGCAGGATAAGTATCAGCAGAGGGTCCATGTGCCCAGCATCTTGTCCCTGAATATTGAGAACCTGACCTCTGAGGACAGTGGACTGTACCGGGCTCGAGCCAGCTTCACTGGAGGAATAGAACTTAACCAAGTTTTCCCCCTTACTGTCTATGGTAAGTGACAGCATCTGACCCCATCCCATGGCTTACCTCCTTCTTTTGTGCTACGAGTTTCACACAGGTCCCATTTTTCAAGATTCCTTCCAGACACCAGCCTTCAGATTCTATTTTCTCCTCTGCAATGAGGGTAAGTGGGTTTACTGCAAATGGTGAGCAGAGCTGAGATTCACAGCAGGGATAAACCACTTCAGTATTTTGGGAGAGGAGAATGGAAATTTGGGGAAATGATATTGCCGAAACAATTATTATACTTTATAGGTCTAGATTTACTTAACTTGTGTATTGGTTGTCTACTGCCGCTAGAACAAATTGCTATAATTTAAATTCTTAATAAAACACAAATTTATGATCTCACCGTGCTGTAGGTCAGAAGTCAAATACGGGTCTCACTGGGCCCATGTCGAGGTGCTGGCAGGGCTGTGTTCCTTTCTAGAGTTTCCAGGAGATTCATTTATTTGTCTTTTCTACCTTCTAGTGGTTGCTTACATTACCTGGCAATAGTGGGACCAATTCTTCTCACATTCTTGTCCCTCTAACCTCCTTCCTCTCCTTCCTTCTTCCACGTTCAGGGACCCTTGTGATTACATTGGTCCCATCCAGGAAGTCAGAACAATCTCCTTATTTTAAAGTCAAATGATTAGCAACCTTAATTCTACCTGTTACTTTAATTCCATTTTGCCATGTAACCTAACATATTCACAAGTTCTGAGGATTGACATGGACGTATTTGGGGTCCATTATTCACCTACCACAATTCATAAACCCACGTAGTTAGTGCCTCCTCTCCTTTTACTCAGCACCAGCCCAAGGCCAGCCTCACTTGCAGACTCCACAAATCCAGCTCTAGAAGCCTCAGTAGACGTGGGAGAAAGGTTATACTGCAACACTTCCAAAGAACCTCACTTAGCCAACACTTTCTTTCCCTAAAGTCCCTGTCTGCATAGGAAAATACCTGCTGTGAGAGTGGCTGTTATAGCTTTAGGTCCCCATGTGATTTCTAAGACCAAGTTATCAATATGTCACTTCTCAAGTTCAGCGGCATATTCTAACCTGACTCGGACTCGTCATTCCTAGTTGCTACCACCGCATCTCCCGCAAATGTCTCCACTGTTGGGAGCACAGGGCCTTTCTCTGGGCTCCCAGTGCTGGCCAGATGTCCTCCTTCTCTACGGGCTATGCAAACCCAGGCATTATCTGAGCAGAAGAGGTCAAGTCCTGATCTGGGACTAGCCTTTCTGTCCCAGACTTCTTCCCCTTCCAGAGGAAACCCCATTTTCTTAGAAATAATGTGCCTTGGGTAGGTGGTATCCAGGTTTTATTTTCTTGTTGGAGATTTTTAAGGCTTGCTCAATCTAGTGAAATAACATAGGGCTTAACTCAGTGGCTCCCTTCTTTACTGTCACTTGCTATGTATTAAGTATTGAGCAAATTGTGTTTTACTTGCAAAATGCATTCACCATCATTAAAGGGAGGATGCCAGGGTTTCAATGAGATGATGGATGAGAATGTGCAGACTGTATTGTTCTCCACTCATGTGAGGCTCCATTCTTTTGTCCCTCTTACCCTAGAGCCGGTGCCCCTTCCCCAGATCCTGTCCAAGTTACTGTCCATCACACCAGGCTGGTGCAATGTCACCCTGGAGTGCAGAGCCTCAGGGGCCACAGAGGACCTGAAGGTGACCTGGCAGAGCAAGGGCCTCCCCAGGGAGCTGGAGCAGAGCGTGACACTGGGACCAGCCCCCAACTCCTGGACCCTGCCTGTGAACCTGCCCCTGAGGCAGCCCAGTGCCAGATTCACCTGTGTGGTCAGCAACCAGGTGGACCAGAAAACTGCCACCTTAGACCTTGGGGAAGTCTGTGTCCATGGTGAGTGTACCTGCCAGAGGGGAGGGGCATTCTCGGAGCTCAGCTGCACTGGGGTGAGGGTTCTGGGCTTTTCTCCCCACTATGTTATGAGCACCACTTTCCATCGGGTCACCCCATACAGGAGTCTGGGAGGTACAGAAAACTCATCTCTGCTTTTAATTGTCACATCCATGCCCACCTCTCCACCCCCTCTTTTTCCCCCTAAGAAACAAGGGATTTGTTTTTTTGTGTTTTAGGGTTGTTGTTTTTTTTTGCGGTACACGGGCCTCTCACTGTTGTGGCCTCTCCCGTTGCAGAGCACAGGCTCCGGACGCGCAGGCTCAGCGGCCATGGCTTGCGGGCCCAGCCGCTCCGCGGCATGTGGGATCTTCCCGGACCAGGGCACGAACCCGTGTCCCCTGCATCAGCATGCGGATTCTCAACCACTGTGCCACCAGGGAAGCCCAGGGATTTGTTTTTGATGCAAGTCTTGTCCACCGAGCTCCAGATGAGCAGCTCCCAGTCCCAGCTGGTCCTGGAGGGAAAGCAGGGGTGGGATGGGGGAGGTGAGGAGAACTAGGGCTGCAGCCCGCAGAGGTGTTCCCTAGAGATGTATTTCCCTGAAGGCCCACACCTCCCCTGACCCACGCTCCCTGCTGCCTGTGCCTATCTGCCTGCCTGCTGGGCATCTCTTTCCTTCCCATATGCTGTAGTGCAGTGTCAGAGCTGGTCCAGGGCAATAGCTTTCCAGTACGTCCCCCACCTCATCCATTATCCATAGTGCATCCACTGTAATCTTTTGAAAAGACATTGGATTTTGAAATTGATCTGTGTCATCTGTAGGAGTATGACCCACTGGCTCCCTGTAGGATTCAGGGCTCAGATGCTCCTCTGCCCATGTTTCTTACCTCATACACTTCGCACGGAATTGTTTGCTTGGAGCTCCTGAATGTGTTCTGCTATTATAAGCTTCTGAGCCTCTGGAAATGCTGTTTCCTCTACCATCAGCCATCCCAAGTCAAGAGTCCTTCACTTCCGGGCTTCCCTGGTGG